TTTTGAGATGGTCCTTAAAATACATTTTTAGGGTAGATATTTGTATGTTCACTTTCTAAAATAGAAAGTCACTTCTATGAATGGGAAATTAACTCCTCCACTTAAGTTCTGTATCAATTCCCTGAAGATGTAATCTTCTACATGTCCCTGCTTTTAAATTCAGTTAGGGGATAACAGGTCAGAAGATTATTACCAGGGATCCTGGTTTTCTCTGTTTAAAAATTGAAAATTCTCTGATTTAAACAAAATCCCAGATTCTCAGATTAAAAACTCTCAAATCCAGATTTTTCATAATTAAAATGAAATGCCATTATATATAAAGGTATCATCTGAACACAATGTTTTATTGATATATTTATAGTGTTAAAGCAATTTGGAAGCCTACCAGTGCCTTAGTCATTTTAATAAAATATGCTGGTGCCCTGCCCCTGCCCATTCCAGTGCCCCTCACTCCCAACCCACATCCCCTGCCCCTGAGTGTATGAGGAAGAGGGTGGGTGTGTGGGGAAGGGACATGTGGGCACAGGCAATGAGTTAGGGGAGCAGGTGTGGGGGGGGCAGAGGAAGGGGGCACAAAGCACAGATTTCTGTGTCCATATCTGGGCACGGAGTGTAGGGCTGCAGCTGGGCTGGACCAGCTCCAGGCAGGAGCTGTCTCCACAATCCAGCAGGCAGGATCCAGCGTAGGAGGGAGCCCCATGCTGCCATGGCCACCCCTCCTGTCCCTCCACACATTGCCTGTGCACTCCTGCCCCCCGACACATCATCCTTGCCCTCCCCCGCCCCCCCAGCCATCCCTATAGACTTACCTGGAAGGAGCTGCAGGAGCTGCCTGACACTGCTGCCTTGCTGTCATATGTATGCATGAACACACGCATGTGACACTGCCTATGTCCCACTCCCCCAGCCCCAAGCAGCCCCTTTCAGGCTGGTACTCTGCTAGCCTGCAAAGGGAAACCTGTGGTATCCCACATTTGTTTCCTTTAAAGTAGAATGCTCACATGTACTTCTCAAATACATAACCCATCTATGAGCTATTTCAGTCAATGGGGTAACTTTGTGTTTGGATATTATCCCCAAAGGTCCAGCAGTGACATAGTTGTATGAGTTAATCTGTATTTCCCAATTCTGTAACATCATTTCTAGGATGCTTTGAATGCATGTTCAAAAGCAGCATCTCCAGGAATGATTTAAAATGTGACTGCCAGAAAGTTGAGAGGTAGTCTAAGTACCAATTCCCAGGAGCATTTCTGCACCTGAGCCTCCACCACACTGTTAGCAGTCTAACTGAGCTCTTTGGTCCAACTGTGTCTGACCTGAATTAGTTTTTGACTAGTTAAAAAATTCAGGGTGATGATTTTTGCAGCTGAATGAGATGTTTTTGACTTTCTGTCATAAATGTATGTAAATTATCCTTCATAACTTATTAAGATTTCTGTTTACCTACACTGAATCTCTTCCCCTGTTATAGAAAGTTCTAGATCTCTACTTTCAGTGACATATTCATGCCCTTCAGGCTGGTATATAGGATATACTTTAGAGAAGGGTTACTATACATCTAGGTTTTCCCAGACATGCCCTCTTTTTAGGTCCTCCCATCTCCATCCAGGTGTTTTTTTTTCAAATATGAACAAGTGTCCAGGATTTGGGACAGGAGGGAGAGGAGGATTAAGGTAGTAAACCAAAGACTGCGGTGCTAGTGTCATCGAGAAGGCTTTGGCTTCCCACAGTCTGCTCTCTGGTGAGAGAGGCAGTGAGCTGCTGGGAAGGGATGGCCTCCACCTTTCTCTGCTGGGGAGGAGGCTCTTTTCAGCCAGACGGGCTGACCTCCTCCACCGGGCTTTAAACTAAGGCCAAGGCACTCAAGGGAGCCCACCCCTACCCCAGCCCTGGAATGAGCTGTAGGTAAGCTGCCTGTACACAAATGCTAGGAGCTTGGGGAATAAACAGGAGGAACTTGTCCTCCTGCTCAACACAAATAATTATGATGTCATAGGGATAACGGAGACCTGGTGGGACTCCACCCATGACTGGACTACAGGTATAGATGGCTATACCCTGTACAGGGGAGATCGAGTGGACAAAAGGAATGGGGGTGTAGCTCTCTGTCAAGGAAAGCTATGCGTCCCTGCAAGCCATCATTGGCACCCAGGGTGAATGACTGGAGACCCTCTGAGTTAACATCCATGGGGAACATGGCACAGGGGACACAATGGTGGGAGTCTACTACAGACCTCCTACCCAGGATCAAGAGCTTGACCAGGAGTTCACCAGGAAATTTACTGAAGCTGCAAGCCCCTGGTGCATGGTTGTTATATGAGACTTCAACTGCCCTGACATCTCGTGGTAAGAACGCTCGGCCAAATCCAAACAGTCACAAAGCTTTCTCGTATGTGTGGATGAGCTCTGATGCAAGAAGTCTATGAGCTGCCAAGACATAAAGCGCTGCTCGACCTGGTAGTGGCAATGGGGGATGACCTAATCAGTGACAGTGACCATGAGCTGATCATTGTCACCATCCACCATAAAGCTGGCAAATCAGTCAGCAATACAGAAGTCCTCGACTTCAGGAAAGCTGACATCAACAAGCTCAGGAGGCTTTTCAGTGAGGCCCTAAGGGACTATCACCCAAAGGGGAGGGGAGTTCAGGATGAGTGGTTGCTCCTCAAGGGAGCGATCCTGGATGCACAAGCAAAGTCTATTCCATCTCGGAGGAAAGTCAGCAAAAGGGGCACAGCAGCCCCCTTGGCCCTCCTGGGAACTAGCAGACCTCCTGCATCTAAAAAGAAAGACCTACAAAGGATGGAGGACTAGATCTACCTCCAAGGTGGAATATTCTGCACTGGTCTGGACCTGCAGGGAGTGAACCAGAAAATCCAAGGCTGCGACTGAACTCCAACTAGCTACAAGTATCAAGGTCAATAAAAAGTCCTTTTTTAGATATGTGGGGAGCCAGAGGAAAAGCAAGGGCATCACTGGACCCCTGCTAAACCAGATGGGACAACTGACAACCAGTGCCCAGGAAAAAGCCAACTTGCTAACTGGGTTCTTTGCATTGGTTTTTCACCAGTCCCAAGAGATGCCCCTGCCCATTGCAGAACAGGAACACCTAGGTGAGATTGATTCCTTACCCTCCATCAGTGCTGACCTTGTGAAGGAACACCTTGAGAGGCTAGACACATTCAAGTCAGTCGGCCCTGACAGTTTACACCCCAGGGTACTCAAGGAGCTGGCAAGCATCATAGCTCAGCCCCTGGCACAGATCTTCGAGAACTCCTGGTGCTCTGGTGAAGTGCCTGAAGATGGAAAGAAGGCCAACATGGTGCCTATCTTCAAGAAAAGGAGGAAAGTGGATCCGACAAACTACAGGTCCATCAGCCTGACCTCTATCCCGGGGAAGGTCTTAGAAAAGATTATCAAAGAGACCATTCTTAACAGACTGGCCGATAGCAACATCCTGAGGGATAGCCATGGGTAGGGCTTTCTTGACCAATCTTATTTCCTTTTACGACCAGGTGACCTATCACCTGGACAAGGGAGAAGAGATTAATGTCATATATCTTGACTTTTAAAAAGCCTTCAATCTGGTATCCCAAGATCACCTCTTAGCAAAACTGGCCAACTGTGGCCTCAGCTTCACCACAATCTGCTGGCTGGGGAATTGGCTCCATGGTTGGACCCAGAGGGTGGTGGTTGACAGAAGTCAATTGTTTTGGTGCCCTGTGACCAGTGGGGTCCCTCAAGGCTCTGTCCTTGGACCTGTATTGTTCAACATCTTCATTAATGATGTGGACATTGGAGTCAGAAGTGGACTGACCAAGTTCGCCAACAGCACCAAACTTTGGGGTAAAGCGTCCACACCTGAGGACAGGAAGGGTGATCCAGGCAGACATTGACAAGCTCAGGAAATGGGCAGATGAGAACCTGATGGTGTTTAACACTGAAAAATGCAAGGTTCTCCACCTTGGGAAGAAAAACCAGCAGCATACTTATAGGCTCGGCACTGCTACGCTGGCTAGCACTACAGACAAAAAGGACATGGGGGTCATGATTGACCACAAAATGAATATGAGCCAGCAATGTGATGCTGCAGCTAGTAAAGCGAGCAAAACACTGGCTTGCATCCATAGATGCTACTCAAGCAAATCCCGGGACGTCATTCTCCCCTTGTACTCTGCCTTGGTGAGGCCGCAGCTGGAGTACTGCATCCAGTTTTGGGCTCCACAATTCAAAAAGGATGTGGAGAAGCTTGAGAGAGTGCAGAGGAGAGCCACATTCCTGATCAGAGATCAGGAAAATAGACCTTACAATGAGAGGCTGAGAGCTATGGGACTCTTCAGCCTGGAAAAGTGCAGGCTCAGGGGTGATCTGGTGGCTGCCTATAAGTTTATCAGAGGTGCTCACCAGGATCTGGGGGAATGTCTGTTTTAGCAAAACCCCCACTTTTCTTTTTTAATACATATATATGATAGATATGCATTCTCTTCCCTTCCCCAATTATTTCTGGCTTTTCTTCCTCTCCCTATAGTCAAGCATAAGCGAGCTCAGACTTAGGATAAGCTTTAACATTTTTATTTTGGTAGCAAGCTTTTGGTTTTGGATATCCACTGTTTTATATTGTATTATTATCATTTTTGTATTGATTTTTATTGTTTCATATGGATATTGTATGGTTTAGGCCTGTGTTTGTAAGTGAACCAAAGTAATGTCAAGTTTCCATTTTGTATGTCAAGTCTCCATCTTGTGTCCTCTGCCCAGGCATCCTCTGTGTTGCAACTGTATGAGTCACGTACCCCTCCCGTGTAAATTGGTTCCTGGAGGAATGAGAGTGATTAGGAATGATTGAAATACAATGGTAGTAGGCCTCTACTGAATGTCTGTCTGTCTCAAATTGCAACTGAAGGCCAATTTGTCCACAGGATACCAATGGTATTGTTGATGTTTGAAAACACAAGCAAGAAATCACCCAAAATAATTTAAAGCAAAATATTTTTTTTCAGACAGGAGCACCACCAACTTAAAGAAGAAACGAAAAAAAAGAACTAACCAATAAAACTAGGTAAAACAAAAATTTAAGTGAACAATAAAAAAGTTATGTATTATGGCTTACAGAAAAATAATTCTACAGCAAATCATAATTTCCAAATCATAATCAGTTCAAGAAAAGCTCAAAAAAAATGCTGTACATGTGCTTATGTGCATGCATGTGTATCCCCTGCTTTTCATCTTTATGCTTATTTGAGATCATATTTATTTAATTTAGTACTAGAAATAAATATATTTCTTGTATGTTATAGTAGGGCCAGGACTGCATGACATGATAACAATTTTAGATATTACCCCTCAAACAGTGAGTTTTACACTTGCAAAAGGATCAAAGCCTAAATGCATAATAGGAGTAATCATTGAGAATAAACATCTGACGTAAGGGTGGTTAATGGCCAATCAAAGGATCTTTGTGGACAAACTGACACACTTGAGCTAGGTCCTTCCAAACAATGATGAATTTACATTTGGTCTAATAAAAGATATCAGATTTACCCGAAGACCATTGTCATTTCAAAAGAAGAGACTTGTTGGAGGAATAATACCTGACTATTCAGGCTATTCAGGGCTGCGCATTTCTCACAGTGGAGACATTAAGTGAGAAATGGTATCTTTGGGATATGTCTGAGACAATCCAAATATTCTCCTGGTTATAATTAGATGAGGGAAGACTTCTGGTCTGGTAAATAAATACACCTGGGGCGGGGGCGGTCGGCGGGAGGGGACAGGAAGTTTTAACATATTCATAATGTATGTAAATACTCAGATCACTATACTTAAGCCTCACCATGACAGCAAGTATTATTTGTCTTTTGTTTTCCCAGGTATAGAGGATGATTTTAGACCCTCAGCCAGTGGGCTGAGTGAAACAGCCTGACAGGAGAAGTTTCAGAGAGCTCTGACAGAAAGGTCAGGGGCAGAAGTTGCTTTCTAATCTAAGTAGAAGCTGCAGTCTTAGGTTTAAATTGCAGTTTTAGGTTTAAAATCAGATTATTATTCTGATATTTCCTTATGTTGTTTATTCTTATATTTCTGTTTTGCATCTCAACATATGTTAACTGATTTCTTATGTTTGCTCTTGTTTTTCTAATAAATCTTTTTGCTATCTTTTATAACTTGCTATTGTCAGTGGTAATGGCGATTTTTCAGAGCATTTACCACCACAGGCAGGCCTTTTCCAAGGAAGGAGGGATCTATTGTAGTTGAGCGCAAGGGTGTGACACTTCCAGCTGGCAAACCCCCTCTCCTAAGAGCTGGCAAGATGCAGTGAGGTAGGCAAAGCTGAGGTGCCATCAGTCAGGGAGGTGACCTTTGGAGCATCTTAGTCTTTTCCCAGTAGTCAAGCAGCAGGTGGCACAGAGAGGTCTGGGACTGAAGGGCACCTGTGAAGGTTTGATAACACCCTGGGGGCATGTCTCAAAGGTGCACCTGACCTGATCTGGGGCCAAAGTATGTCACATACGTGTTTAACTTTAAGCCTGTGAGTTGCTACAGAGATTTCAGTATGATTAGCCTTATGAATAAAATTGAGCAAGTGTTTGTGGCATAGAGACCTTAGTCTCTGAACTGAAATAATGCATGTGCTTCACATTAAACCAGCACTGGCTCACATATACACAGTTACACACATGAATAAATGTTTCAAGGTTTAGGGTGTTTTTACATGTGCTCTGTGGATGGGGACACTTTAATCAGAGCAACTCCAAGAGCTGCTCTAATTAGACCCACAGCGCCTTGTGTATCAGCATCCCTGTGCTTCAAAATGGCAGCAGAAGTGCTTTAACTGAAGCTCATCAAACAAGCTTTAGTTGAAGTGCCCCCACCACCATTTGGAAGTGTGGAGATGCTGATTTGGAAGTACAGGGACACAGAGGCTGGCTGGAGTGCACTAATTAGCATGCTCCAGCAGACTCAGTTAATCGAGTCTATTCCAATGCACTGTTATTACATTGGATGATACTCCAATTGTGCTGTGCATTGGAGAAGCCTCCCTACATGTCTACAGGCACCCTTAGCACTTTAAATATTAGAACTGTTAAAAAAATGTATAAAAGCAATGATGAGCAAAAGTCTTGTTTAAATAAATAATAATTTCACAAAAAGTTTTAATAAAGTCTCTTCTTTTATTTCAATTAAGATGTCTGTTTCTACCAGTTTTACCATTTTCATTTAGTTTTCATATTATGTTTTTTGGGAGTAAGTTTTCTTTTTCTGTGGTCCCTTTTTATTTATCACTCTAGTCATAGAGGCCAGATCTTATATACGATCAGCTACATACATAAATTTATGTATGTGAATAATCATTGGAACTACTCGTATGCTTAAGTCTTGGCAGGAGAGGGACCTAATACATTAACTAGTTCATATGCCATGCATTATTAAAAATATATCTATTTATAGTATATAGCAGGGTATTATATATCCTCATTTTAGGCTGATTTTACTGTTACTGTTTCTATGGCTTCCAGGCAAGTCCGTATTTAAAAAAAAAAAAAAAGATTCTATCTTCTTATATACTATCTTTTTTCTTTCCTTCTTTATTTCTGGACTTTATGACTCAAGATTCTTTTTATAGTCCAAGCAAAGCAGAGCAGTTTGGGCATTCTATTCTGAGTATCATTAAAACATGTTTAAATGCCGTACTGAACACAGTGTGACAGGAATGGCAGACCAAATTCAACCAGTCGCAAATGCTGCTGCTTTAACCTGAACACTCTGGCCCTGTGCAATTAAAAACCACAATAGATAATACTCGATGATAGACCAGAAACAGGTGTCTCCATGTTCTTCTTTTATAATTTCAACCTATAAAATCTAAACTCAGAGTTAAGGGATAATATAGTCAACAGTATAGTACTTACATAGAGTATATGGAAGAAGCATTACATTTAAAATGTAGTTACACTGAATTTAACACACTTTTATGCCCTGATCCTCAAGAGCAATGGTGCCAAACTGATTTAGCCCTCTGGGCTTCTTACAGTGGCAGGGAGTCACAGGGTTTAATACAACTATCATTCCCCCTCCCCCATTCTCCCTCCCCCAAAAAACACATCCTCAGCAGGGCTTCTTATGATGGATTTTGGCGGCGGGTCTGCTCCTTAATTCCTGACTCCTCTAGGAGCTCTGCAAGCCAAATAACACAGCTTGTGGGCCAGATCCAGAATCCAATTGTCACCAAGTATTAATCTTAACATTGTGAATTTATGGAGATAATATTTTTACTCCTGAGGCTGTATGTGCATGTTAAAATTGGTACTGAAGAGTCTTTAGTTGCAACCTTAAAAATGGAGAGGCTTTCTGCCTCCATAATTTTATTTATAGGATCATAGAAAAGTAGGGCTGGAAAGGAACTCATGAGGTCATCTAGTCCATTCCCCTGCTCAAGTCAAAATCATCTCCAACTAAACTAATCATCTCCAGGTAAATGTCTGTCTAACACAACAGTGCTTAAATCTTGGCCGTGTGGGACAAATGAATGGCATAGGGCTGGTCCGCAGGCTGAATTGAGCCCTACATGCCAGGATCAGGCCCTGCAAAATTTTAAGACCCATGAGGAGCCCCAATGGGCCAGATAACACAGCACCACAGGCCAGATCTAGCCTGGGAGCCAGGGGGTGAGTACACCTGCTCTAACAAGCTATTGAAAATTTCCAGGGATGGAGACTCCACAGTTTCTTGAGGTAGCCTGTTCCAGTGCTTAACCACCTCCATAGTCAGATAACTTCTGAATCTGAGAGTTAAACTGCATGTTCATTCTTATGCCACATTAGATTAAAGAAAAGATTATCAAACTTAAATGTGTATGTATGTATATGTATGTGTTTGTTTATATAATTAAATAATTCATAGCCAGATCCTCCACTGGTACAAAAGGGGTTAGCTTACTGGAATGTATGTAAACCCACTTACACCAGCTGAGGATCTAGACATATTATTAATATTGATATTACAGTGGTATCCAAGACCTCTAAACTAGATTAAGTCTCTACTTTTATTAGTCACAAGACAAATACATACAAAAAAGTGGGTTATGTCTTAAAGAATTTACTGTTTAACAAACACATACAGAACAAGTACAACTTGCAAACATCAAAAGCAAATTACCTCACTACTTTAGTTTGTGTAAGCTCCCTCTTGTTCCATGTGCTTTACCATTGTCCTTTCTCTTTGGGTCGTGTCTGGCTGAATGTTACCTATATTGTACATTTATAATTAGGGAATTTTATGTGCACACCTAACACTGTATAATTAATATATAATATATCATATGTGTGTGTGTGTGTGTGTATAAACTGTATAATATGATAAGCACGAATCTTGACCTTCAGACTGAATTGACTAACAGAATTGAAAAAGCAGGTAAGAATTTGGGGCTATTACAGAAACATGCATGACATACCATCAAACTGTCAACTACAGTGAAAATGCAAATCTATGAGATTTATATGCTGGCATCCCTGCTTTATGGTTCAGAAATGTGGAGTACATATGCTAGGCACCTCAGGAGACTGAACGGCTTCCACATGAGATGCCTGTGCAAGATTCTGAAAATAAAGGGGGAAGACAAAGTGCCAAACACAGAGGTGCTAGAGCGTGCAGGACTGACACACTTAGAAACCACTATTAAGAAGAGGAGGTTGCAATGGCTCAGCCATATCAGGAGAATGGGAGGAGACTGCATCCTCAAGAATATTTTGTGCAGTAAGATGTAAGATGGCTCTAGAAAGTGGGGTTGCCCTCTATGGCAGTACTACGACATGTGCAAAAATTATGTGAAGTCTTTCAACATCAATGTAGAAAGGTGGGAAGAGTGTGCAGAATCCTGTCCAATCTGGAGGGAACATCTGGCACTGGTTGCAACTCAGCATGAAGCAGGTTTGATCCAAAGCAGAGATAGGCAATGTGTTTTGGCCTGAGTACCAAAAAAACCATAATGTCTACCTTGTAAGGTGCCAGACTGCTGGCTTCCCATAAAAACAAACCCAGGGGGGGGAACATTGCACACACTGCATATTAATATAGTTAATAATCACAAATGTTGCGTTTTTTACTGTAAATACCAGGTTTTCTAAACATTCTAAACCTCATGACAATAAATAAAACTTCATATACTAACTTTGTTCTTCTGTATTTGTTTTTTGTTAAGCACCAAATGCAGGGGGCTGGACCCAATGATTTGTAAGGTCCCTTCTGGCCCTTAACATCTATGAAACTACATTGTGATGGGAGATAGAGAGAGAAAGAAGAGAAATAGAAAAAAGAGAGAAATAGGGAAAG